ATAACTAACACTGTGTATGACTTGGTGCATTTTCTAAAGTTTTGTCACCTTGCATTTGATAATTATTTGATATAAGACATTTTAGACTTTTTACAATTTATTTTCTGAGAGAAAATCAATTATAAACATATAGATTTGAAACAGAATCTACCCTGGAAAATTTTTCCTCCCTTCTTTCAAGACATTGAGCTTGATTCCCTTAACTTATTTTTACAAATATTTCAGTGATAATTCACTGAAATTTCTGAGGCTTCTGCCCCTTTCAGCATTTCTTCATGGATTCAAAGAGATCACTTGTTTTCTTAAAGTGTAAAAGAAGAACTGCTCTATTCAATATGCTCCACATTTAAAACATGGCTGGCAATGGTAAGAAATAAAGAAATGATAATACTGTAGGAATCATTTAGCCTTTGGATGAATTTGAACATCCTTGAAGGATTTCAAATTTATGGATGATGTATAAGTTGATGGTAGTATTTAAACTGTTCAGTATTAGGGTTTTGGTGTGATGACTAATAAAAAGTCATTTGTTATATTTTTAATAGAAATTAGCACTTAATTCACTTAATACATATATGACCTATCTTGGGATAAAATAAAGTTTTTGTAATCTGATAATGTGTGTGTTATGGTGAAGATGTTTATAAGTATCTCAGTATTAATAAGTTTGCTCTCAGAAGTTCAGGATATTAATATACTAAAAGATAGGAAAGAAAGAATATTGTGTTCTGAGTAAATACTGAGAAATCCTTTATATATTAGAGGGCAGGAAAACTAGAAATTATTATACCCCTATCCATAGGGAATGCATTCATCATATGAATAGCCTTTTGTTTTTCTATGAAAGTTGATAAAATATTGACTTGCTAAGATGGATTACAGTAAGAGACTAAATTGTTGCTTACCAGAAGCCTCCACGATTGACCTGGACTTCACCATTTGTGGACTCCTGGCAAGGTTATTATTCTATTCAAAATCACCTAATAATCCTAAGAGCGGTGATGTTCTTAGGTCATTTGTTATCATACAAAATGAGATAACATAGCCGGATGTTGAATAATCATTAAGTATGACACAGACTTAAGGTAATAATTTCATGTCTTATTTTTATAGTTTATTATTTAAGCTAACTTTATCTGGAGAGCCCAAAGCTCTCCTTTTCACATCTTGTTTTAAGCTCTCCTGCAGTTGAAAGCATGCTTGCGTTTCAAAGGGAGAAGCTCTTGTTTAATGTCTGTTTCCACCTTATCAGAACAGATTAGTTTCAACAGGTCACACAGAAGAATATGTTCAAATTGTTCACACCCTGGCAAGCCTGCAAAGAGCTCTTTTCCTATTTTTATTTGATTTTAATCTGCCTTACTACCTAGTATGACTGCTCTTATAGTTGGTCCTCTCCATAGCATTCCTGGGTTAAACTCACTAACAGGAACACTGCACCCTAAAAACAAAGTTACCCTGTCAGGATCTAGATTCAGTTCCTAAAATGCAGTGTCAGTTGTGTCTATTTTCATTTACGATGGAAGTAGCTATGAAATTCACTCTCATTCTCTGAAGCATAAGTAAAAGATGCAAATATTTTCATGACTATCAATCAGCCTTGCTCATCTGTTTATGAAAACATGTGGCAATAATGATTGATTTTAAATACTAAGACTATAAAAATGGTTTCTAGTCATGTGAAGAGTTCTAATCTAGACTGTTTTATCTTTTTTTAATCTTTTTATATGTAGAAGTTAACCTGGATCTTGTTTCTCCACCCAAAATCATGTCACTTGGTTTATTAAAAATTGGATGAAATAAGTTATCATTTTTTTCTTTCTCATAAGAAATCTGCAGAGCCGGGCGCTGGTGGCTCACGCCTGTAATCCTAGCTACTCAGGAGGCTGAGATCTGAGGATCGCAGTTCAAAGCCAGCCCAGGCAGGAATGTCTGTGAGACTCTTATCTCCAATAAACCATTAGAAAACTGGAAGTGGCGCTGTGGCTCAAGTGGTAGAGTGCTCACCTTGAGCTGAAGAGAACAGGGACAGTGCCCAGTCCCAGAGTTCAAGCCTCATGACCAACCCCCCCCCCCCCAAAAAAAAAGAAATCTACAGTATTTTTTAGTAATTACCTCTATCCTTCTGTAACAAGCAATCAAAGTAAGATTGTTTGCACAAATAAAAGAAGTAATAGTTGAAAATTTTACATCACATTTTGAACTTTTAAATTACTTAGAAAAGTATCAAAAGACTGATGATCTTCAAATACTCTTTACTTATATGATTATGAAATGCTGAAGAAAACCACAGCCAATCTATTAAGTTGCAAGTAATGTTAAGAGGGTTTGTATTTCTCATTAGAAACACTAGATTGTTTTATTTTTAAATTCATTTTATAAATGGTTATGTCTAATTTCTTTTAGATGGATTCTTTTGGAAAGTTAATCATTTTCCTGTTCCAATGCATAAAAAATTTAATCCAATGGATAAAATGAGATGGGAAACTTCTGTATCAAAAACAAAGTAATTAAGCAGAATAAGGTCAAGATAAAAAAAAAAAACAAAAGAAAATCATAGTTTCAATGAGTAAAATTTCAAACAAGATTTCCTTCTGATTTGTTAAAATTCAGGTAAAGTTTAGGTTTTTGTGTAATAACAGTGAAGTAATCAGGTCATAATGAAATTAAATTTTGAAATATAAGTAAAATATTGGAGAGAAAGGGGATAGTGGGAATAAAAATGTCTAACCTTAGAGGAAAAGGGTAATTTAGCTTAGAAACCAAGACTGGAAGATGAGCTGTCCCAGTGCATGAAAGAGAGAGCATTCCATAGCTGCTTACTGGCAAGGCCAGTAAGCAAAAATGGTTCAATGTTGGAACACTGATTGAAAATCATACTCAATAACCTGGGGGAAGGGGCAAATTGCCAATGAGAGAAGAGCAATAAGTCAAAGGGAGACAGAGGCAAAGCTTCCTGATTATTACCAGGAAGAAAAAACTGAATATTCAAGGTAGATTTTGTAGTTTAGATTTCTACTTTTGAGAGCCTTTGTCCACTAGGTCTCTATAGTTTAAAGTTAATACATTTTCAGGAGTAGGAAAATAATATTTTAATTATACAAAAATTAAAACGAAGGAACTCACGTCATGTAGTTGAGAGCTACAGATCTGCAATTGAGATGCTAATCACATAATCTAACTAGTAGATTGCACTATTCCTCATGAACTATGACATTTTAAATTATTTACTGGCAATATTTTTAAAGAAAATATGTGGGTATAAATCCCATTGGGTGTGGGTGGCCAAAGTCTGTAATTCTAATTAATCAGGAGGCTCAAATATGACGATCAAAATTAAAAATCACCAATGCAGAAAAATCCCAGAGACTCCAGCTCCAATTAGACCGTGAGACTGGAGGTATATCTCAAATGATAGAGTGACAGCAATGGGTGAAAAACTCAAGAGGACAAGGCCCCAATTGTTCAAAATTCTGAGTTCAAGCCCAGTACAACACACAAAACTTAAATAAATAAATAGATACACACGTGTATATACATATACACATGTATACATATATATGCATACATATATACATGTGTATATGTGTGCTTCATAAAAGAATGGCTTTAAAATTACATTCATATGTATACATATATATCACCAAATAATGTACAACATTCTGATGCTTAGAAATACTATATAAACTATCCTTACTAGTATAAAAGGCAATTTAAATAAAAACATCTATGTCTATGAACAAAGCTAATCCAATTGTACTCAGACATACTAAATCAGAGCATAATGTTTTTATTACTTTGTGTGTGTTGTGCCAGTTTAACCCTTCATTTGTTAAGCATAGATTATCAAAACAAGTGTG